TGAGCGCGAAGCACTCGAAAGCATAAATATTTATTCCTTAAAGGTTATGATTGCCTTAAATCATTCCAGCTTATTTGGCGAGCATCAGAGAAAATTAAACCAAGCAGTTGAACTCGATCTGCATGTATGAAATAATATATATATGTGTGTATATAGCTGTATATGCTTGACTCCAGTATGGATGGAAGCTGTGAGCAAATTGCTTCCATCACATCGAAAGATGCACTGGTAATTTTATTGTTCCTGGATATGATAATAAATCAGCATAAGGAAGTGGTTGGAATTATATCATGGGAAGCCACACTTCAACATGCAGCGTGCCCCGTGGTACCAACACGAGCAGAGCTCGGCTCATGTGGTACCTGTCTAACTATGGGGAGATAATGAAGCACGTGGTGAAAATTATTCCAGTTTTTGGGTGTAGAGCATTGCTTGTGTATGGACAGGAGGGGGCAGTGAGGTGAGGGTCGGGCTCTGCTCCCAGGGAAGGGGCGATGGGATGAGGGGCACCGGCCTCAAGTTGTGCCAGGGCAGGGTGAGGTTGGCCATGGGGAACAAAAACCATTCTGGGATTCTATGGAATTCATGTGCATGCCTTGATGGATGCTTACGTCTACCCCGTGTCACTTTAAACCTCAGAATTTGGGGGTGAACCTTCAAGTGTCAGCCTGTGCAGCCCATGTACGTCCTGGTGGGGTGGCTCCTGCGTGCGTGGGAAGCAGTAGTGGGATGGGGCAATGGTGTTTTTGGAGCTGGGTGTGATTTTTCTCCCCTGCACAGTAACGCATGTACAACTGAATGTCACATTCAACTGGAACCTCTTCTGCTTCAGTTTGTGCCCATGGCCCCTTGTCCTGGCGCTGGGCACCACTGGGAAGAGTCTGGCTCCGTCCTCGTGACCCCCCCCCTTGGGACGCTGGGCACCACTGGGAAGAGGCTGGCTCCGTCCTGGTGACCCCCACCCTTGAGAGATTTGTAGGTGTTGATGAGATCCCCTCAGCCTTCTCATCTCCAGGCTGAACAAGCCCAGCTCCCTCAGCCTTTCCTTGTAGGGGAGATGCCCCAGCCCCCCCATCATCCTTGTTGCTCTCCTCTGGACTCTCTCCAGGAGTTCCTCATCCTTTTTGAACTGGGGAGCCCAGAACTGGACCCAGTGCTCCAGGTGGGTCTCACCAGGGCTGAGTAGAAGGGGAGGATCAGTTTGGATGAATTCAGAATAGCTGCAAAGCCTTTTCTCAGTATGGAGTTGTGGCTAGCAAGGCTTTCCTGTGTGCATACTTCACCTGAACCAGGCGATGAAATGCCTTTTTAATCTGTCTCTGATGACTCTGGAGGTGATAGGATGAAAGCATCCTTTACATTAGCATTAATTTTAATTTGAAAGGCCAAAGAAACCCAAACAACTCTTGCTCCATAAAACATAACTTGTGGAATTAATTGCGTAGGAACGTACGTCTAAGTTACCGATGGAAATCCTAGCTTAAGAAATGCTCTCCAAGGGTATGAAAGCCAGGATTTCAGTCCATTCACGCGCCTGTCCTGCCGGGCATCTCCGTAAAACTGGAGGGGCTGTTGCGAGCCTGCTGTTGGATGGATTGCTCCGTATAATTAGAGACACCTTAGACTTCGGTGTTGGAATTGATGGTTCCTCAGTGTTTCTTTCTACCCAGAGAGTTCATCAAAGTTAATAGTTTTGCCATGGGCTTTGACAGAAGTGGAGAAAAGAAACTGTTGTTGCCTCCGGTCCAAACATCCTGAGCTGGAAAATGGTTCACTGTCTTGTTAGAGACGGCCGAGTTACAGGCGCCTCCAGCGACACCGTTGTGCTGTAGGTGGCACAGCAAACATCACACTGACCTGTCCCTCTTCCGCAAATGCCTTAGTTATCATTCTTTCTTCTGAGCAAATACGGCTTAAATTTATCACCGTACCTTGCAGGGTGATTTCTTTATCATGCCACTGATCGCGTCTGGCAGGAGTTTCTCTTATCCTGACTTAATGACAAAAAAACCCAAAACAAAACAGAGAGAAATAATGACGTGTTTCCTTTTTGGGTGTTTTCCCCAAAGCTGCTTGCAGTTATTCTTCCCTGTGCCCCCCCAGGCAGCCCGTGCTGCTGTCCCAGGGAGGAGATGGCCAGGAGAGGGTCCGGAGCCGTTTTGTTGGGACAGTGGCTCACAGGGCTCTCATCGCTGTCTCCCCTCTCACCCTGCGCTGTTGATGTCAACCACCGAGGAGCATCGAGCACTGGAAGGGGCTGCCCAGGGAAGGGGTCGAGTCCCCAGCCCTGGGGGGATTTAACAGCCGGGCAGAGGCGGTGCTGAGGGCCAGGGTTTGGGGGTGGGATGGCAGGGGTAGGGGAGCGGTTGGGCTGGGGGAGCTTAAAGGGCTTTGCCAACCCAAACCATTCTATGATCCCCCGGCTAACAGCAAGTTGGGATCATGCAAACGCATTGGGATCGTGCAAACGCGTTATTGAACGTTCCATGAACTTGGTGTTCCAGCCCCAACTCCTAACGCTTCATGAACCTCCTCCTTTTTCCAAGGTTATTTTTTGGCAAAGCTTTACTTTTCCTTGAGTGGTTCTTTAGCCATGTTGACCCTTTATACGAGTATGACTTTCTCATTTTATAAAATACTATTTCTTTTGTAAGATTTCTTATTTTATATCTGTTTCTGTTCTTGTGAAAGTTTATTAAAAAACCAATGGGCTTTGCTTAAAATCACATACAATGTTTTAAATGCTTTTTCACCTGGTAGGAGGGTGAATCCCCTGAAGTTTGGTGGTCGCCTGAAGTCTGGTCTGCCCTCAGAACACGTGGTTGATCATATGGGAAAGTGCGATAAAATGGGAGCTGTGCAAATGCGCCGGCTAGGCAAGCACGTAGCCCTCAGTCACTGGAGTTGTATTTCTGTAGAGAATGCCACCCGGTCCGGGTGGAAGCCATGGGCTTTCCCTGTTCCAGTGGAAATTGCGGACTTTGTCCTTCCAGCTGGGAAAGAGCAGATGTTTAATGTTGTTCAAGCCAACGGGAAAGCCCATAAAATAGCGGCGTTGCCTTCACTTTGCAGGAGAGACCTTTTTCCGTTATGGAGGCTTTGGGATTCAGGGTGAAGTCAGAAGTGGGCGGGGGGTCCATGGGCACGCTGCCGGGCAGCCTCTGAATGGGGTCAACAGGGTTTTCCTTAGGCTTTCTGCAACCCTGACTCCTACTTTCTTCCTCATTTGAACAGTCTACTGCAGAATACTCACATTTATCTTCTCTTGGAGAGTTCCTGGCTTCCACCGCCGTCTCCTGGTCACCGGGGTGGGAGACAAAAAGAGTGGAGGAGAGAAGAGGAAAAATCACCGTGAATTCCGCGATGCGTGTTTTATTTTCCTCAGGGGGGTAATTCCGATTATATTCAGCAGAACAGATGCCTGCCTAACAGCGAGACGTGTGCTTCGTTAGCAGAACGAGCAGCGCCGTTATGATTATCGCTAAAACACCTTCCTGTTGGATGCGTCACGCCTTTCCACGTGCCGGTAGCCGGGGCGCGTCGTACAGCTCCGGCTGGCACGGCCACACCGATCCACGCCTTGGACCGACAAGGAAATCATAGAATCGTAGAATGTTTGGGGTTGGAAGGGACCCCCAGAGGTCACCCAGCCCAACCCCCCTGCAGGAGCAGGGACACCTTGAACCACATCAGGTTGCTCACAGCCCCGGCCAACCTGGCCTGGAATGGTCCCAGGGATGGGGCCTCCACCCCCTCTCTGGGCAACCCCTGCCAGGCTTTCACCACCCTCACTGCAAAGAATTTCTGCCTTAGATCCAGTCTAAATGCCCTCAAGTGTTAGCGCTAGCCCAGGCGGTACCCAGGGCTCTGGTTTTGAGGAAGAAAACGCGAGCTTTTGAATGATAAAAATGTTATAGTTGCGTTCAAAATAGACGACCAGCGACCCCGTGTCGGCGAGAGTTACCTGTAATGATCTGCTTTGGCACCGGGAATCTGAGAAACAAAAATCAGCTGCTTTTTTTTTTTTTCTGTTTTTGAGGTTGTAGCATGTGAGTGGGTTTTCCTAACAGAAATGATCCGTATTGCTGCGCAATGCGGAGAAGGCGGGATGAGAAGTGCTTGACAGCCCAGGAGTAGTTAGGGAAAGGAAAGGGCAGTGAATTCTGCAGCGTGGCTCGTGCTTGGGAAATGTTATTCCCAGAGTCTGCCTTAAACGAGGGGTACATCCCGGCTGCCGGTTCTGTTTTGACATGGTGGCTTGTGAATGGGATACGGCGGCTACTGACGGGACCCCTGAATTTGCATCTGAAATGAGGTGACGTGGTCTGGGTCTTCCAGTTTCCGAGAAAAGGTTTCGCGCACAGTTAATAGGAAACTCATGTGCAAGGTTTGACCTCGGCCTCGGCGATAGCCACAAGTTCCCCAGGATTAAGTAGCCTGGTTTAATGAACGCAGTTTTAGCAGCAGACCTGGAGTACTGCTTCATCATGAATAATGGATAGGAGCAATTTAGGGCTTTCCAGCGTTGTGGATTGTCTGAGCAGACTGCGATTCCCTTGGATAAAACTGCTGCGTTAAATTATCGGCCGAATAATTTCCCGTGGATGGAGCGGGACACAAGGAGTTTGTGCTGAGTAACAGTAGGAACCGGGGGCGTGTTATTTAGGCTTAAATACGAAAACTCATCCTGCTGCAATCTGTTCTGAAAGCATTAATGTATCCTCCCAAATTCTTCATCTGAAGGCCACGTTTTTATTAATTTATGATTTCTACCGATGGTTGTTTGCTGAGAATCAATGGGCGTCATGGCCAGCCTAGACCGGCAATTCAACTCAAAGCAAACCCTATCGTTGCAAATGGGTACGGGGAGCAGTGTTCAGCGGGAGGTTAAAAGAGCATTTGTGAAACAAGGCTGGGAAAAAAAAACAAAACGAGGTTTTTTTAAAGGCGGTTTTGTTTACGGGGGAAAACAAAAACGTTTCCTTGTGGTTTGCCTGCAGGTTCTGCCTCCAGCATGGACGCTCGTGTGGGTCCTCTGATGCCAACGCAAGTCACCCGGGTAACCGCTGTGTCTGCACCGGCCATGACGTTCATGGCAACCAACCTGGTGGACCAGGCATTAACAGGTCTGTTGATGTTTCTATGTACTGATTGTATTACTGAAGCACGTGTTGGATATTTACCTACTTCCACCCGCGCCGCGCTGTCCGTACTGCACAGGAACAGGGGACCCTTACAAAATCGGCCCAAATTTGAGGCCGTTTGCTCTAGCTCATTGCGAGCGTGTTCAGGGTGTTTCAGACCCTGTTTACCCGGTCTGGCAGTTGGCAGGAGCTTTGCATTTGATGACACAGAAGGTGGCATGTTTCGGAACCGTCCTTGGGCTGTTCATTTCCCATGCCAGTGGTATTCACGAGCATCACAGTGATAACATGGTTATCGGTTGGGTGGTTGCTCCATGAAGCCTCGTTGGCTGAAGCCTCTGAGGATGCTTTGTGCTGTGCTGTGCAATAAAACCGGTTTATTCCCCGCCACGAAAGTGCCCGTGTGCTGGCGTGAGAGGAGGGGCGATGCTGTTGCCAAAGGCTGGAGGAATTCTTGTGGCTTTTCACTTACCTTCACATCCACGCATTGCGATCAAAAAGCGATGGGATTTTGATAGGAAACGATGAGCGTCATTCCTAATGGTGTGAAACTCCTCTTAGCGCGGGGGTGCCAGCCAGCCCTCGCCGGCTCTGCGGCACCTCGGGGTCCTGATCCCTCCTTCCTGGCTGTGTTTTGTGGAAAAAACCCCGGCGTTTATCGGGAGTTACTAGGTATCAGTTCCGGTGTGATTTATCTGGTCCTTCACGCTCAGGGGTTAATACGGTTGCGGAGGTGTTGCAGGGTTGCGTATTAGAAATGAATGCACTTGCCTTGCGTTGGGTCGCGTACAGATTTTTGGATACAGAAGCTCTCCCTCGTCCAGGCTCACCAGCTCTACCCATGGCCAAGATTAAAGTTTCATAAAATACTTTGTGGTCAGCCGTGCTCGGCAAATCTGTAAGCGGAGCTTTGAAGCAGGCCTGCCTGCTGCTCTACCTGTCTGGAGTAAATCCTCTGGTGGATTTTCTGTTGCTGAGTATCCCAGCTCTGCCTGGGAATGGCTGAAAATTTTATGACACCGGCACCTTGAAACCGACGGAAAGTTCGTACACATCACTCTTGACATGCTTCAGTTTTCAAACCAGACAGGCTTCTTGGTTTGCTTTCGGTGAACACCTACTCCTTTCATCATCCGTACAGTTGTTGTGCTTGAAGACCTGCACGCTCCTCCCTCAAGTCAGCGGGAACTGCGGTGATTTGCTTTCTTGTCAGAAGCAAGGGAGGCGGAGGAAACCCTAAAACTGTTCAAAAACTGCAGGGACGGCGAGAAGAAGATTTGCGCAAGGGCCGTGCTGATCTGCAGCTTGTTGCAAGCTGAAATCATATAGTTCATATCCAATATATTTCATAATCTTCACAACAACCCCACACAACGCTCCAGGCATGGGGCAGAGGGGCTGGAAAGCTGCCCGGCGGAAAAGGCCCTGGGGGGGTTGGTCGAGAGGGGGCTGGATATGAGCCAGCAGGGTGCCCAGGTGGCCAAGAGGGCCAGCGGCATCCTGGCTTGGATCAGGAGGGGTGTGGCCCGCAGGA